CTGTATGCTGTATCGAAGGCTGTATCTTGAACTTTCACATAGGTTTTTTGTAGCTATATATAAATATTGTTCAAGAGGAAAAACACTTTCAAATTCTGGTTCCATTATTGAAGGCTTACTTGTTTAAGGTCTACATGTACGATGTGAACTATACTTTGTAGAGCAGAGTCAATTATCCAAACTAATTGGGACCAAAATGTATTCATAAATTCAGATTTACAGTTAATGAAACCCATTAAGGTAACATGTACATTTATATATAAACATGTTCTCAATTTGATTATTTCATTGCTCATCTTGGTTATTAAAACGGTTATCTTTTCTTTTAGTCACTCCTCTTCCCACTGCCACCTGACTGTATTGGTTGTCTTCATGTCCTACATTCAGATGACTGATTTTTCTAATGTATTAAAAATAAATGCACACAAACTGGTTTTGTCAGTGTAGTTACAATTTATTTATTTCACAGGAATTCAGTGTCTTCCTTAAGATATGGAAAAGGAAGCAATGAAAACCGTAAAAGTGTATTTTATACTAATGAAGAGTGGGAGATGTTAGATCCAACTCCAAAGGACTTGGAGGAATCAATGGCACTGGAAGAAAAGCGGAGGCACTTACTTGAAGGAAACAGAGGTACAGACTGATTCTTTTCCTGTTAATCTATTATAGTAAAATAGCTGTGTTGTCAGGAAAAATATGGAATTCAGTCAGGTTTTTTGCTAAGGAAGTTTGGGTGTCTGTAGATGTATGCCTTCCTGTGTATAAAATCTCATTTAGGATGTATTCTAAGGTTTCTAGCAGTTTGGCTATAGCACTGTATTCCAAGGGTGTGTTTGTGACAAAAGTATGCATACGACTCATTGTCATTGACTTGGTGCGCGGGTTTTATCTATTTTGCATAAAGGTGTAGGGCTGCAAGCAGAAAGAGAAAAATCAAGATCTTGTTTCAAATCAGTCACTCATATAGTTGAATTTGCTTCAGATTCCCAAAATGGACAATTATCAGCTTGAGGAAGGAAAAAGATGTAGGGGTAGGATTGCGTCAGTACTTGAGTCAGTTCTTAGTCCTATAGTATTTGCAGTAAGTTCATACAAACATAAACAGTTCCTTAGGATCTCTTCAGTTGGTGCAAAGAATTACATAATGAGATGGAAAGAATCCTTCTGTCTAAACATAGGACCCTTATACAGTAACAGCTGTGTTAACTGGCATTTTACTAACTGGAATACTCTATTATCCGGCATGCACGTGAAGTATTTCTTGGGCGGGGGAGCAGGGGAAGGCAGTGGGGGTGATGACAGTGGCTCCCCTCTGCGAGCTGCACAGGCACTGCCCAGTTGGTCAGAGGGGAGGAAGGAGTTTGTATGTGGTGGCCGCTGTCACCACTACGTTAATTCCAATAACCGGAAGTTTTAAATACCCAGCACCCTCCTTACCTCACTCATGCCACATAGCAAAGCTTTTACTGTACTGTGGAAAGCACTAGTAGCTTAGCTGGAATTCTGAACTGGTGTATTTCTATTCCAGTTTGACTTGAATATTAGGGCCATAGCTCTTCAAACTGGAAGTAATCACAATTGATAGCCAGTGTTAATTTGCTTTGATGGCAAAATAAACTTTGTGGCTTGGAATGTCTTTTATTTTGTATAACAAATGTGTAAAATTCTGTTCAGTTCAACCAATGTCTTATTTAATGAGTCTCATTTCAATCCATCTAACTTTAATGGGCATATTTTTAAAGAAATTTTGATTGCACTGAAATTTTCTCTAATAAATGAAGTGAACTAGATAAATTGTCTCTCTCAGGAGTGAGTAGCTCAACCTCTTTATTTGATTTTGGACGCATTCCACAAAAAGCAAGACGCCCATTAAAAGACATGATTGGATCAAGCAGAAACCGGAATAGCAGCGACTCCTCTCCAACTGAGTGGTCTTCTGGTAATGGCAACAAACTAGCTTCTGAAATGCAACTGAAGTTTCAGAGCCAGCAAGAAGAGTTGGAAAGGTTAAAGAAAGATCTGTCAAGCCAAAAGGTAATCAAGTTTTTGGACAAGGGTCACCAGTGCAATAACAGACCTGATAACAAGAAGAGTAAATTCATCCTTTTAACCATTTACTTTAATTTGTTGCTGGTTGTTACTAAGCAGCAGTGCTGAATGCACATGTGCATAAGAGTCTAAGAATAAGAAGTCAAGATGTTTTTTCTGTCTGGAAAAGATTACGGTCCTAAGCAAACTCTTAATTTGCATAGAGTTCAACAGCTGCTCTCTCGTCTTTTCATATCTTGCTGAAACCAGCGTGCTTGCCAGCATCTGTGTGTGTAATTAAAGACTTTATCAATTGTATCTGCAGTTCCCCAAAGAACACTTGCTTTTGGATGCATCTGCTCCTTCTCTAGTTTGTATCTATAATCCCTACTTTTATTTTAAATGAATATTACTACTAGGATATAATACATCATGATAAAGGCTTCAGCAATCTCCACGAAGGACGGAGCCATACACTGTTGCCTTTTTGCTCACACCTTGTAGAAAAAAGATCATGAGCGGATTCAAGTTGTATATTTCTCTTTGTAGGCTTGTGGAGGGAAAAGACTAATCCAATTAAGTGAGGCTTTCACTTGCATCTGATAATGGTCATTACTTCATATTGGAGTTGGTTCCATTTTCTAGATCCGGCTCCAGTAACGATTTTTACTTCTACATGCACAAGTCTCCATAAACAGCTGGAAGTAATGTAGGTCCAGATAGATATAACTGTTTTTCCCTCAATAACCCGGAAATCTTATCTTTCAAGTACTTAGGGCTACTCCAGTTGAGGGACTTGAGTATCCAGCCAGAAATATAGAATTGGATTCTGTATTTTCTGGGAGCCAAGCATGAAAAAAGTATACTAATAGAAACTCATGGGATTAAGCAAGTTTTACATTATGTGCAAGTTTCTTTTTAATTCTGTCATCCAGAAATGCATCAACACTGTCCTTTTTGAAAAACAAAAATATCAGGCTAGAGTCACTGTTTTCTGAAAGAAAATATTTTAAGAATCTTTTTTGTGAAAGGTGATTTTATGAGACAATCAGCATCAGCCTATCAGTGACAAATTCTAACTAATCAGTGTAGTACTGGCTTCCATCTTGGGCAGAACAACCTGGTGTGTGGGTCTTGAACTGGTCTCTTTAGCAGTCACACAAGTTGAGACTCTTGGGAACAAACAAAAAATTAAAGAAGGGTACCAGAACTGAGGGAGGGAGAAAGATGACTGAATCTTTACTACCTGTTGCATGGGAAGCTCTTCTATCAAAATTTGTAGGATTTCTGGAAACTTCTTGTAAGAAGCACAGCTGTGACATTGATGCATATAGTCAAAAGTCTCTCTTTACCTGCTTTTATTCTAGGGAATAAAATTTAATTTGCCAGTTGTCTCAGGACCCTTGGTTCAAACTAAGCATATGTCCACAAGTCTCCAAATCGCTGTGGACTTTCAGATGCATTGTCATTAGGTCCCAAAAGATTCATTAGAGCATCCGTGCCTGCATCTGTCATCATAGTCTGCAGGGAAGTAACACCTTAATTTCTCTCTTACCTTCCTGTCTTTGCAGATACTTCTGGGGATGAACCAGCCCATTTCTCTGCTCCAGGCTTTTGATAGTTGATTTTTGTAATGAGAAAGGTAGTAATCTATACCAGGGATATTTCTAGTGAGTAGCAAGCTCACTTTTGTTTTCCTTCAGGGTTTATCAGTGATCTTGAACAAGAGGAATATCATCCCTTGGCTTTCAGCAAGTGGCAAAAATGAGTTTTCAGACTTTCGGATGCAAGTCCAAGTTCTAAGAAATGAACCAGTGTAAATTTTCAATCTCTTCGTATATCCTAACAGGCTTTACTTAGCATGCACTACTGTTTCAATGCTGATCCCAAGCTTTCTGCACAGTAATTGCTTTTTGAGCTTGGAATTAAATAGTAAAACTTCCTGCTGGCAAGGTTGGGATTTTTGCTTCCAGAGTCAATAACAGTTTTCATAGATTCATAGATAGATTCATAGATTAAGGGTCGGA